ACCACGCATTGAAATGCCATTGCGGACATCATTGGCGAAATGTTTTGGACTACTGCGACCAGAAGACAAACACCAACAATCACCCATCTGCTCCCGCATGGAAGGTGGACGCGATTACGCAAAATGATCGAGGGTACTAATACAGCGGACGAAGAGGAGGCGATGGCGAACGCGGAGTGGATGTCCGCACTAGTAGGACGAGGACGATTAGTCCGAGTATCGCCGGCATATGCCATGTACGAATCTACAACTGGCAAAGTCCGTCATTGCCTACAAGGAAGCACGGTTAACGCACCAGTACTTTTGCAAGCATATTGCCTTCATGCAATACATGCTTCAAGTCATTAAACCCCTTGTGAGCTGCGTCTCAATCTATAGCGAGCAAGCGTACCTAATCATACCAAGGCGGGACGCAAGCAGGAAAATAATATATCCAGACGGGCGAGCAATATAATATCAACAACGGTGAGCGGCTCAACTGCGTTGCGTTGACAGAGTAATCGCACACTTGCAACGAAGAGCTGACAGCTTGACGCGTGGCCCGAGGAGGGCGCGTGCCCCTCGGTCTGCGATTGGAGCGCCAGCGCAGCAGGCCCAGAGGAGGACGATGCCATTCCTGGCTGGTACCGACCTCGCCAGTGCTGTTAAGACGCTGCAGCAAACACTCGGCGAAGCGCTTGCCAGGATTGAGAACACGCTGCCCATGGGCTCCATCAGACGAGACCTACGACAACCCGGCGGAGAAGGCACCGGAGGGCAACAATAAGTATAGAAATCAGGTCGGCCCGGATGCAGCAGCAGCACGAGCAGATGGAGCAAGCAGCAGGAGCTGTAGCAGGCGGAGCTTGCAGCTGCTGTTGACCAAGGAAGGAGACGCATGTGGGGTCATATCGATGACCTCGCAACGTAGGCAAGCACATACTACGCCGAGATCGACATGTATAAGACTAGCCTGCAGGACGCGTCCGAGCAGACGAAGGAACTAGTGGAGCTGCTCTCAAAGCTGACAGACAAGGGCCGCCTACTGGTCAGCGAACACACGCTGCAGGCGAAACCACACACGCTTTTTTTGCAACAGCCCACGGAGAAGTACAGCTACAACATGGGCAAGAGCGAGAAGCAGTGCGAGTTGCGCGCCGAGGCAATCAGTGGGGCCCGCTCGGCACGAGGAGCTAGTAACTGCAGACAGGAAGATGCAGCGCATGAGCGACATCAATGCCTACGCGCGTCGCGTGGAAAGGGGATCATGGCCAGCGGCGACAAGAACCTCAGACAACGCTTTGCGCGGCCAGAGAAGGGCCATCATCAATTTGCGGGCCGAGCTACAAGCAGCAATCATTCAGTCAATGGGCGTGAAACATGGTGGACTCAGGGAACGCCGCGAACAGCACGCGCAAGTTGAAATCAACCGATGCACGCAGTTCATAGAGGAGGCGGAGCACATGGCAGAGAAGGCGCGTTTGATGAGCTAGCTCAGTACCATGAGCAGCCAGTGCGAGATTGTAAGACAACCGCAGGCCAACGTACTCCAAGCGGAAGATCGGACACACGCGGAGACTGTCTAGGACTTAGGAAGCATCGCGGGGCGCATGCAGTTCATCCGCGACCAAGAACGACAGGAAGTGCAGTGACAATTCGAACGCAGGAAGAACTCGCTGAATTGCGAGCGCCACGAGTTACATGCGGCACGCAACCATCTTCCAGAGACAGAAACGAGCTGAAGCAACGGCGCATGTGCAATGTTTGGCGCAGCAGGGTCAAGGCTGCAAGCAGTCACGAGGAAAGGGAAGACAGGCAGATTGCCTTCGACGCCGCCGCGGCTGCATCGGCCAGTGCGCAGCCGGGGCTTAATTCTTCGGCGACCACAAGCAGGCAAGAGGACGTTGCTACCGCGCAGAGGGGCTGTGCTCCTCGTGGCCCGACAGAAGCATGAGGACAGGGCGAATCTACATCGGAAGGTGCGCTCTCCCCATGGAGCGCCCACTTCGATTTCAACGCGCGCCATGCCGGGGCCAGGTGCGCGCAGTCGTTTGCCAAGGGCGTGAGAGACCGCCGAGCATGATTCCGCCTGTAGAGCCACTGCGGCCGATTGCGCGCGCGCCGCCTAACCGCCTCCGAAGTCGCGTCTCGCCAACGCCGCATTGCGCAGAGGAAAAGCAGGCTGCGGACCCGGGAGAGTGGAAAACGAACCGACGCAGCTCATGGGCGCAGACTTCGACGCCATCTCGATCCTGCGCGGGGCCGCCGCGGACACGTGCGCGACGAGATGTGCGGCGGCAACGCAGCTGCACGCAAGTCGGAGGACGTGGCCACATGAGAGGGCATGGTCCCCGGCGACGCCCCCGCGTCGATCCTGCCGCAACGCGAGCGCGACGACGAACAGGGGCAGCAAAATCACTTCCTGACAGTCTACGAGGAGGGGGCGAGGCTCGTGGCGAAGGATCTGCCTGCGCCGACATCGCATTGCGGGAGGTCGCAGAGGACGTGATGCGCCAGACGG